TCATAAAAATCTTCTGTATTTAATAATCTTTCATTTTCATTGAAATATTTTTCCAAAATTGTTGAATCCATTTAAATCAAATGTTATTATTACAATAAATTAACTCTAAGATAAATAAAAAAAAGTTCGTTGTGTTACGGTTCTTTTCTGAGTGTCATAATATTTTTCCTTTTTAACATGTAAACTAATTTTGAAATGCTTTGTTGCACAGTAAATATCCTGTTGTAAGGAAGATTTTGTTGTGCGTAAAACATGAAACATGTGAATTTGCAATACACATATTTCTTTAAAAAAAATTTCCTTAGCTTAAATTCAAGACATTTTCATTTAGGGACACTCATAGAAGAGAAATTTAATAATCCTTCTGAAAATTACTATAAGAATGTTCTATATATATTGGTTTGAAATTAAATGATGAAATTAGCTTGCACGTTTATTGGGTAAATCTCTGTTAAAATTGCAGTAAATTAGATTTGTTGCCTATTTCATGCTGTATAGTAGAATGAAGCACAATAATGTAGTTATCCACAAAAAATATCCAAGAGTGCAATTTTATCAATGGGTTGGGGTGGATTAAGAATATTAGGAATCAATTTACGATTGTGGGGATGACTACATAGTAGCAATGGAGCCTCTCTTTTATAACGCAATAATTATCAAATTTATCAAAAAAATAAAATTGAACATAATAAATTATGCAAATAATTCTAAATATCATGATATTATGAAGAATATAATTTTCATTATATGCAATAAGTTAATAATAATTGCTTCGCAGCCCTGCTAAAATTTGATCGTGATTATTGGACTTGGCTTGAATTGTGGATGTTTACCGTTCACAATGGCATAATGTAGTAAAACCATTCGAGTCATGTCTTAAGGTCTGCTCCATCGGAGTTAATCTACAAACAAAATTTGAGCCCTGTGTACTTCAAATGCATAAGTAGTATCAATATTACGACAATCCCTTGACTTGATATTATAAGATTTTAGGAATGTATTGAATCACTTAACTCCAGGAATTCCAAGGTTACTAAATCATCCGAAAGAATCGCCGACTGAATCAAAATAAGTCATTGCTTGGTACATTTTTCCATTAATAAAAATCCTTGAGGTATGTCTTTCTGACTGCGATTTTAGCATAGCGCATTACACCATTATTGTCAATACAATGAGTTGCAATTCCAATCGGAGGCATACTAATCATCAACGAGTGCTTGTAAGTCAGACGGCTCAGACTTGATTTTATTAAGGGTTTCACAGTATTGCAATGATTTAATTTCTTATGCACTTGTTCCAAAATAAAATAATCAGGACATATGAACCTCCCTCGAATTTATGTTGAAATCGTTGTTCATTTTGGATTCGATTAAAAGAATGGGTAATGTGAGGAATCTTTGTTGTTTCAATTACTTTGGACGAAGTCTAATTCGCCTCAAGATGGTGTAAGGCGTGAATATTTAGTGACATTATCCGATGCCCAAGGCAAAGTCACATCCACAATACTGAACTAAACCTTTAATGGTGTTTCGCATAACCCTCACCCTGCCTTTTATAAGCGGCCAAAGTTTAGTCAGCTGACTGTTAGCAAAACCCTAATTTTAGTAATAATTTGCTTGATAATTTGATTTTACATGGTTTAGTTAATCACCCCCAACGAAATATTTTGGTGTGTAAAAAAAATATCTCGTCAGATAAGGGTATTTTCGGCACATGTAACGAAAGTGAATTGCTTAATGTAAATGAAGTAACTAATGATATGACACTCAGAGATGATAATATCGAAAATAATTAGCATCTTTTGGAGGAAAAGAGGATTTAGATGTCTTTGAAGAAGGGACTGATAATTCAATTAACAGAACTGAAGATTGGGTAGAACTTATTCAAAATTGGATGAATATAATTGATGATAATGAAGATATTTATGACCCTTTAAAATTTATATCTGTAGATCATACATATATCCTGCTGATGATTCAATTGCCTAATAGAGTCTGTGTAGTATTTTTAATAATAATTTAAAATTAAACAATATGATTGGTTCAGCAAATGGCCGTGTCATTTAAACTTGACTTTCAAATGACCTAAATGACTAAGTCATTTGTCATTTGAGTCATTTGAGGTCATTTAGTCATTTGTCATCACTGCATTAAGTCGAATAACAACCTAGTGTGATATATCTCATCCGAATGTTATTTACCATTGGGCAAATTGTTAAATGCACATTATTAAGGAATTGGCATCCGATTTACAATAGTTTGCGTCAATATTTATTACATCTTTTTAATAAATTTCTATTATTAAATAATATTACGGGACATTGCAGATCAAGTGTCATTCAATATAAACGTTACACGAATAAAATTATTATCGTCCACTTCAAAAAAAAA